GCATTTCGCATGTAGAGAGCTACCCCACTGAGTACATAGGTTTAGGAAATAATTCAAAGGTATACCCAAAAACAAACGTGCAACCCAAAAAAGAGCAATTGTACCAAATTTTAGTCACACCACTGCTTCCTCTTGGATGTCACTACCGGTAAACTCGAAGTCCTGCTCTTCTTCTACGGTTGGACCTTCAAGCAGAGATAGCCTCTCTAGATCCACAATAAGATCGGCGGATGCGATGCAGTTGGGGCTTGGTAGCAGCCCACTAGCGCGAAACCCGTTTGTTATCGTGTCTGATGAGAGCTGGTTCCACGCTTGTAATACCCAGCTACACATTTTTGTGCGGGCAGGCTTCTTCAATTTGAACACCTGGCCTGGTGCTCGCGGGGCTCTAATTGCGCTTGCATGTCTTCGTGCCAATATTTCCGTAGTCTGCTCTTGAGTGGGAAGCTCCACGCGACGTTCTCAGTCAACATCATCGTAGACACGGGGGGGGATACCATCACCACGGAGCTCTTTGACCCATTCGGCGATTTCGGACTCGCTGGCTTGCGACAGGATTGTCCCCACGCCCACATATGCTCACCCTTACCTTTAGCTAGAGCAGCCTCTAAGCTGGCACGACTGCGTGCCCAGCGGTAGATAGTCGCTCGAGTTGTAGGCAGAGGAAGCAAGGTTAGGATAAAAGTGTGATATTGTGGTCCTCATCTGTGAGCCCGCTAGATGATCTAGAACAGTCAGCTTCTTTTGAACAGACTCTGCAGTGATCTTGTATTGCTGAGCATGTCGGCCTGCACACCGCGGCTTGGTCTTCCTTCGGGGCGCTGGCGCGCCATTGAAACTGGTGGCTTATCTTTTGTGAAAAAATACACCGGTATACCGGTAAAATAGATGTCTACATGCGATCTCACGCATGTAGAGAGCTATTTAACCGCGATCTCACGCGGTTAAACAGAATGCCTAGTGATTGGTTAATAATAGAGTGTAGCTCATAAGCAGCTGCAGCTCTCTACATGCGAAATGCGGTAGCTAGTTTTCTCCCTCCGACTGACCACTCATTTAGCCAGCATCGCCATGCCAGTCGACATGGGGCGTAAGAAAGCGCTTGTAAGAGAGCCTGATAAGGGTGGTATGGGTAGCGACGGTGTATTATCCGATGCGCGAAGTGTGTCCGCGGCCGAGAGTGACGAGGAATGGGTCGACACATCCAGCGCCACCAGCTCGCGCTCATCACCTTCTAAAAGGAGTCGTTCTGAGAGATCACAGCCTCTGCAGACAGCTTCGCGCGGCGAGAGCGAGGAAAGGGTGGTTGCCATTGCACCCTCCCCAGACAGGACATAATTTACATCGTGGGAAGAGCTGGAGGACTACCTGTGAGAGTACGAGCGAAGCACTTTCCAGGTTTGCAAACAGCATTTCACTAATCTGTACGTATTGGTCGCTAACCGGTTGTATATTTTAGAGCTTTCGTATCCGTACCAACAACAAAGTGGCAAACCGGAGCAAGAAGATTCAAACGACCGGTTCTAGTGCTCCGCTCGCTCCTAAAGAATGGGTAAATTATGCGAAGGCGTATGTTTGTACGCGCGCAAGCCGCGCGGCCAAGGCAAGAGGAAGAGGCAGAAGTCCCGTGCACTGATGTGCAACGCGCAGGTAAGAGATCGATCTCCAGTTGGTTTCCAGTTGGGCTACAGTTGGACCCCGGTCGGGCTCCAGTTGTCCAGTTGGGCCCCGGTTGGGCTGCGGCTGCCCAGTTGGGCTACTGTTGTCCAGAGGGGCCTCAGTTTGGCTCCAGTTGGGTTGGGTTAGTCAAATGGAAAACGTATGCGGGCAAGTCGGCCTAACTCGGTGTACTATGTGTATATTACAGATCAATGCCTGTGTCCAAGTGGTGGATGGCCGTGAACCAATTTTTATCTTGCGGATCACTTCGTTGCGACTGGAACACAGTCATACACTCAATAAGCGGGCTTTTGGCTAGTATTCTCACAATCGGACCTCGTTGGAATCAAATGTTGTGAGAACTGTAAACGAGTTGCGGAAAGCAGGGCCCCAAAGAAGGATTCAGATCTACATCCAAGAAAACTCTTCATCCAACCCTACGATCCAGGTCGTGCACAACTTGGTGCGAAAGCTCAAGAAGCAAGATTATACCGCGCCGACAAGTGTCAAACGGCTAAAGCAATGGATGACCAA